AAGCCTAATTTGCAGTCTCTCTCTCTCTCTCTCTGATTTTCTGTGACTCACGCTGATTTTTATTTAATTTCTCAGAGGCAGGAACAGATACTCGCAATGTTCGGAGGTCACTTATTCAGACCGCTTGCATTGCGAAAACATTGCGTCACTGTCCCGTAAGAGAGGAGATTACGTTGTGTAAAATCATACCACTTTCTGCACTCCCTTCTCTTCCCCCACTCGTTTTATTCCAGATGACGTCAAGCATCTCAACGTAGGCCAGAGATTGAATCAGGGCTTCCTGATTCCTGTGACTCAGTGCTACATCATACGATGCTTTTAACCCATTGGGACAACTGGCCCAGAATATTTTTCTCATGTTTTATTCATCTAAGGGTAGTTATAATAATAATAATCCCTGAATTTGAAGCAGCCCTAAGACTGCTGCTAAGACTCATCCATACATTCGTCACTTCAAGGCTTGATTAAGGGAACTCCCTCCTCATCGGCCTTCCCAACTCTTCCCTTCACAAGCTGCAGATCATCCAAAACTCTGCAGCTCGTGTGCTCTCACGCACCAGGCTCCGTGATCCCATCACTCCCACCCTCACCCGACTCCACTGGCTCCCCATCGCCCTGAGGATCGAGTTTAAGATCCTCGTCCTCACCTTTAAGGTCATCCATGGCCTTGCCCCCTCCTACCTCTCTAACCTGCTGACTACCTACCAACCTGCCCGTTCCCTCCGCTCATCGGGCTCCGGCCTTCTCCATGTCTCCCGCCCGAGCCGCCCTACCATCGGTGGCCAGGCTTTCAGCCTTTCTGCCCCCACGCTCTGGAACTCCATCCCACAGTCCCTTTGGGTCGCTTCCTCCCTTGCCTCCTTCAAGGCAGGTCTCAAGATGCTTCTCTTCGATCGTGCCTTCCCTCACCCCTACACTACCCCTCCCCAATCCTCGAGCCCCGACACCTGACTGTTCATCGCTTTGGGACGTCCTCCCGATGTGAAAGGCGCTCTATAAATGTCATTTTGTTGTTGTTGTAAGACCAAAAAAATGTCTCGAAGTTCTTTGCAGTCGCTGCTATGCGCTGTGATTGAATGTTTGTACAGTCAGCCAATTTGCACAAAGCAATTTCTCATACGCTGCCAGCAATATCTCACACACACACCACTGCACACTCACAAAGCGTTCCGGGACGCTACCTGGCGTGAAGGCCGCTATATAAATACAAGTTGTTGTTGAGTGAGAAAGGATTGTCGGCCAGGACACCGGGAGAAACTCCCTTCTCTTTTCAAACAGGCTCGTGGAATCTTCAACGTCCAGTAAAGAACTGGCACACGAGATACAAATAGAAGAATTACATTCACCCGGCGTCCTTGATGTCGGGAGGACCTCCCAAGGCACTGGACAGTCAGGGATTTAGATCTCAGTTTCACCCCTGGTAGATATTTATCTAGTTCTTTTTAAAAGCGTTAAGCGCTCTTGCTATTTTCATGGAATTATTACAAGTATTCCTACATTTGTTCTGTAATGAAACAGAAAATGTTAAACAGTTATCGACCAATCAATTTGAAATAATGTAGCTCTTGGTACATAATATTTCACTTATCTTTGTTCTTGTTCCTTGCCTTGTGAAAATAAAAAGCAATATACTGACTGTATTCCAAAAATAATTACACCCTGTGTCTATTGCAGCCCACGATACATATATGCAGAAGGTTGTATGCTTTGCTCATATTGCTTATTGCATAACTGAATAATTATAATAGTATTTTACGGTAAAGTCAATCTTGTGTTTAACTAACAGCCCAAATTCATTACAAGATTGGTATCACGTCCTTCCGGATTAACAAATTGCGTTAACAAATTTTTATGCATTTTTTTTTCCACTCTCACATTTCATAAACCCCCCCCCGGTTAAATCATAGTTGTAATAAAAAAACATTTATTTGATGAATACGGATTAACTGTGCTCTGTGGTGCAGGAAAGAACCAATAGAGCTTGGAAATCAGTTGCTGGTGATGTACGTTCAATTAAAACGTCCCCTCTGCTTGGAAACAGGAAGGATTCTTCTTCTCTTATTGGTGGGTGTTAGGGAGCCAATAAAAAAAAATACTCTACGGACAGGATTGGCTTCTACGGTCTACATACACTCTAATCTCAGATAGTGTTGGTACCGTATATTCCTGCCTATACATTGCAGCTTTTACATTGTAGTCGTTTGCGCTTACTCTAAGATGCTACGTCTTGTGAAAGGTGCTGCGCAAACGCAAGCTGTTGTTGCCGAAGGGGATATACAAATGTTCCTCTATAAATAAATGGACAATGCCTACCTATCAAATATAAATAAATGGACCATGTTTCAGTGCCACACATCAAATTCACCCAGGTGAAATAAAAGCGCTTTGGGACGTGACCTTGCTTGAGGGGTGCGATATAAATGCAACGCTAATGATAAACCCTCCAAAAACAATAATAAATTGGTCATTTTCAATCCACGACTGTTTGTGGGACATTGCTGTGCGCAATTGGCTGCCGCGTTCGCCCACAAATATACAGTCAATTCACTTTACAGTGTGTTCTGTGAAGCGCTTTGGGACGTCCTCCCGACGTGAAAAGCGCTATATCAAATGCAAGGATTATTATTATAACTTGTTGTTGAAAATGTTCTACCTACTAACAGTGCAGTACGCACTCTTCCATGTCACTGTCCTTCATAAGCCCACAGTCCTAATGATATACTGTCCAGCAGGTTGTTCATTTTAGTGGTATTGGCTACAAATTTGTCCCATAAAAAAGTTAGAATGGCGATACATTAAATAGCTCAGTTGTGCTCTCATCAACCAGTTCCACCAGGTTATTAGATCTTGGCAAATCTTTTAACACCGATGCCCCACTTTCACCATATCCCATGATATCTCTGCTACCAGCCAACTACCTCTCTTTTAAACACCACTATTGATTCCGTCTCTACAGCTTTCTGGAGCGGAGCGTTCTACATCTTCACAACTCTCTGGGTAATGAAATGCTTCCTGACCTCAATTCCAACAGTCTTGGTTCTGATTTTAAGGCTATGCCCCCCTTGTGATGGATTCAGCTGCCTCTTCACCACGCCTTGTTATTTCTATTGGTACATCAAAGGAATTATTATGCAAGAATCGTTATTATTGTAGTATTAGTATATCGGATGTAAGGATTATCATTATTCATGAGTGACAGTGTCTTATAGAGTGTTCTGTTTTTATCAGTGATGTGTTGTATTCTTTTTGAACATGTGCTTAAGGGCACATTGGGGGAATATGCCTTTTGTCTGTGGTGGTTTGGCCAATACATTGCTGATGGGAGCAGGTCCTATGGTAAGTAGGTGCTTCTTTGCCTACACTTCCCCCCCACCACCCCGAGGCAATATATCTTGCGATTGCTTTTCTCAGCTGTTTATCATTTATTATCAAGCGAGCACAGTGTTCGTATTTCTTTTAAAAGTGGAATGCTAAAACCGGAGAACAGTTGCCGCATTTGTCAATATAAAATTCAGTTCGTTCCTTAATGAATCTGAATCTGTAAAGTGCTTCAAGACATTTCTATTAGGTACCAATAGAAATATTATATATGCAAGTTGTAGGACCAAGTTTTCGATGGGTTCGTCTAGAAGTAATATTCTTTCTGAGGGCTGTTATGTTTCACATGTAGTACATTCCATTGCTCGGTGGGGCATTTGTATCAGAATGTTTTATTGATGAGGAAGTTTACGTAAATATTATAATTGGACTGAAACTCAATTCCTCTGCCTTGCCCTTTTTGTCTGTTTTCAGAGTCATTCTAGTACAGATAACAACAATAAAATTACATTTATAGAGCGCCTTTCACGTCGAGAGGACATCCCAAGGCTCTGGACAGTCAGGGGTCAGGACCCGAGCATGGGGGAGGGCCGGGGTAGGGGTGAGGGAAGGCAGAGAGTTGGAAGGGCGACTGAAGGCACGATCGAAGAGGAGGGTCTTGAGACTGGCCTTGAAGGAGGCAAGGGAGGAAGCGAGGCGAAAGGACTGTATATATATACATATAGCGATATGGTAAACTTCTGATAACTTGACCGTGGCTTAACTTGTCACCACCGCTTAGGACTTCATGTTATCAATATCCCGGCCAAGTTTATGTATTTATCCATATAAGTAACGCATCACTCTGGATAACTCATCACTGAATTCTTTCCCTTGGAGCGATGAGTTATCAGGAATTTACTGTGTACATGACATAGACGCTGAATTTCCTCAGCCATTTCCATTTGCTTTTACTGTATTGTCTTCCATTACAGTCACATTGATTTTTTGGGTGGAATTTTGGAACCGCCTAACATCCCGAGGTGCAAAATTGACAGATGCAGAATGGCTGAGATGAAGGAGGAAGCGGAGAGGAGTAGAAATGGGGGCGGGGGGGGGGGAGTAGTATAGATGGGGAGAAGGAGGAGGGTTAGAGGTTGGGGAGATGGAGGGGGGGTGGGGGGGAGATGGAGGAGGTGGGGTGGGGGGGAGATGGAGGAGGGAGGGTGGGGGGGAGATGGAGGAGGGGGATTGGGGGGGAGATGGAGGAGGGAGGGTGGAGATGGGGTAGAAGAGGAGGAGTTTGGAGGATGAGGAGGAGGGGGTAGAGGTGGGGGGGCAGGAGGAGAGGGTAGAGGTAGAGGGTGGGGGGGAGGGGTTTGGTGGAGGGGGGGGTTTGGAGGAGGGAGGGGTTTGGTGGAGGGGGGTTTGGAGGAGGGAGGGGTTTGGTGGAGGGGTTTGGAGGGGAGGGGAGGGGTTTGGTGGAGGGGGAGGGGTTTGACGGGGAGGGGTTTGGTGGAGGGGAGGGGGCGGGGTTTGGAGGGGAGGTGGAGGGGTTTGGGGAAAGGGGAGGAGTTTGGCGGGGAGGGGTTTGGAGGGGGTGGGGTTTGGTGGAGGGGGCGGGGTTTGGAGGGGAGGGGGCGGGGTTTGGTGAAGGGAGGGGGAGCGGGGGGGGGGGGAGGAGGGGAGCGAAGTCTCGCGGTGGCTGGGAGCGGGGCCGGGGGTGGGCGGCCTCCAGTCGGGCTGCGGTTGCGGGAGAGGAAAGAAGCGGCCGGAGAGAGAGAGAGAGTGAGTGAGTGAGTGAGTGTGAGAGAGAGAGAGAGAGAGTGAGTGAGTGTGAGAGAGAGAGAGAGAGTGAGGAACGAAAAAGAAAAGAAGGGGGTACCGCGGAGAGAGGTAGAAGGGGAAAAAAAAAGGGGAGGGGAGGGAGAAGAAATTTTTTTTGAGGAGGAGGAAGAACAACAAATATATATTATATTATTATTTGTATATATATATATATATATATATTCCGCCCTTTTTTTAAAAAAAAATCCTGTCACAAACATACACCAGAGAGAGAGAGAGAGAGTGAGTGAGTGTGAGAGAAATCAATAAGGAGAGAAAAAAAAAGGTCTCTCTCTCTCTCTCTCTCTCTTTCCTTCCCTCCCTCCCTCCCTCACAGTGGAGAGGAAAAGGCCTCCCCCCTCCTCTCTCTCTCTCTCTCTCCTCCCTCCCTCCCCTCATCACCCGACGCGATACCGGGCCCTGTGCTCTCCCCCCCCACCGCCCTCGGCCCCCCCCCCCCCCCACACCGCCTCGCGCCCCCCCCCTCCCCCCACACCGCCCTCGCGCCCCCACCTCGTTCAAACCGCACGGACCAACCGTCACCCTCGCCTCGCGCCCTCCTCTCCCCCTCCCGCCGCCGCCTTCTCGCGACCCTCCTCCTCTCGGGCCCTGTCTCACTCACTCTCTCTCTCCGTCCCCACCTCTTCCCTCCCTCCCCTCCTCCTCCTCCTCCGCTACAACACTCCCTCCTCCCTCCCTCCCTCCTCCTCCGCTACAACACTCCCTCCCTCCCTCCTCCTCCTCCGCTACAACACTCCCTCCCTCCCTCCCCTCCGCTACAACACTCCCTCCCTCCCTCCTCCTCCGCTACAACACTCCCTCCCTCCCTCCTCCTCCGCTACAACACTCCCTCCCTCCCTCCCTCCTCCGCTACAACACTCCCTCCCTCCCTCCCTCCTCCGCTACAACACTCCCCTCCCCTCCCTCCCTCCTCCGCTACAACACTCCCTCCCTCCCCCCTCCCTGCCCCTCCTCCTCCGCTACAACACTCCCTCCCTCCCTCCCTCCCTCCTCCTCCTCCGCTACAACACTCCCCTCCCCCTCCCCCCCCTCCCTCCCTCCCCCCTCCCTCCTCCCTCCTCCGCTACAACACTCCCTCCCTCCCTCCCTCCCTGCCCTCCTCCTCCTCCGCTACAACACTCCCTCCCTCCCTCCCTCCCTGCCCTCCTCCTCCTCCGCTACATCCCTCCCTTCCTTCCTTCCCACAGGAACGAGGAGGCCGGAGTCCGGTAGCGAGAGCGAAATGTGCGCATAATCCGTCCGTCCGTGTCCCACCCCCCACACATACAACACACACACCCCACCTTCCCCCCCCCCCCCCGCCCCCCTTTTACTTCCGCCATCTTGAGTGTGAGTGAGTGAGTGTGTGTGTGTGTGTGGACAGACCCAGAGAGAGGGAGAAGGAGGGAGACACAGGACAGGAGGGGAGAGAGAGAGAGAGACCCACATACAGGACAGGGGGAGAGAGAGAGACCCACACACAGGACAGGGGGAGAGAGAGACACACATACACACACACACGGGGGGGGGGGAGGGGAGAGAGAGAGACACACACACACACACACAGGGAGAGAGAAATATTTGGGAGGAGTTTTTTTTTGCTTCCCTACTTTTCCTGTCCTCCCTTCTCTCTCCTCCTCCTCTCCTTTTCCTTCCCTTCCTCCTCCTCCTTCGTCCCCTCCACACCCACACCATCACCCACCCCCCACCCACCACCATCCCTCCCCTCCCCCACCCCACCCCCCCCCCCCCCCTCCTCCTTGACATTTAATTGTTTTTCTTCCTCCTCGAATCTTCCTGGCGGATTTTGGCGAAGGGAAGAAGGAAGAAGGCAGCCTTGATCCGACTTGGGTGAGTGCCTGTCTTGTGGTTTTATTTTAATTGTGTGCGTTATTTCCTCCCTTTCTTTTAAATCTTGTCAATATACATTCTCTCCTTTATAAAGTCTCTCTCCATTCCCCACCCCCACCAACCCCCCCCTATCTCTTTGCTCCCGCCTCAGTCTCTCTCTCTGTCTCTCATTCTGTTTTTTTCTTGAGAGAGAGAGAAAAAATAATACTGTATCTCACTACCCCAAATTCCTCTCTCTCTCCCCCCCCCCCCTCTCTCTCTCTCTCTCTCTCTCCCCCCCCCTCTCTCTCTCTCTCTCTCTCCCCCCCTCCTCTCTCTCTCTCTCTCTCCCCCCCCCTCTCTCTCTCCCCCCCCCTCTCTCTCTCTCTCTCTCCCCCCCCTCTCTCTCTCCCCCCCCTCTCTCTCTCCCCCCCCCCTCTCTCTCCCCCCCCTCTCTCCCCCCCTCTCTCTCTCCCCCCCCCCTCTCTCTCTCTCTCTCCCCCCACTCTCTCTCTCCCCCCCTCTCTCTCTCTCTCCCCCCCTCTCTCTCTCTCCCCCCCCCTCTCTCTCCCCCCCCCTCTCTCTCTTGCTCTGACTGCAATGCTGCTGTGGGCTTGCGTATATCCGTCATGTCTGCTTGTCAGATTCCCGGGGAGGGGGGAAGAAGAAGAAATAACATTGGTGGTGGGGAGGGTGAAGGAATGATCTTTGTCAGAAGGGCCAGGGTCGTGTAATTTCCTTTATTGCAGATAGATCTTTTCTGAAGCCACGGTTCACCAAGGAGCCGTGTTATGTACTGTATGTGCATCTATATATATATATATATATATATAAATTACTGTGTGCCTTTTGGGTGTTTACAAGGGGCTGTGTACAGAGTCGTGGCAGTGTTGTTGAAGGTTGCTGTTCACGATCGCCCTTTTTTTGAGTTTTTTTGGCTGTGTGTGTGTGTGTGTGTGTATTGGGGAAAAGGAGGAGGATCTTAGTTCGTGTCAAATGTCTGCGAACTCATAATCTTGTCAGTTGAAAGTGTCGATGAATGTGCTGCGTTCCGGTGGGAGTCTGGTTCAAGGTTTAATATTGGGAAGAGGGGGTGGGGGAGGGAGAGAGAGAGAGAGAGTCAAGAAAAATGAAATGGAGGTAGCCGCAATTTATTCAGCTTTTAAAGGGTTAAAATTTGAAATGTAGAAATCTTAATGTAATAACAGCATTATTTTGAGTCACGTAAAATTTGACGTAACAAATTGACTTTAACGAGGGTGTTGTGTTGTGTTTACTTTGGAAAACATCTTGGAAGCGTAGCTTTGGGCTACAAGTTCCTAATCCTGTTTCTAATTTCTACAAATCAGATAAATTCACCATAACGCATTAGTTGAACCAAACCCTTAATGAGCAAAATGTAAATATGTTTTTTTGAAGATCTATATATCCATATTATATATACACACAGTGCTTAGATATTGTTCAAATTCTGCATAACTCTTAAATGTTTGGTGGTTAGATGAAGGATGGTTTATTATGGTCAGACTTGAAAGTCCACCAAAGTTCCATTTTATGTCCAAAATGCATATAAGGTGAAAGAACAACTTTAAGACAGCACTTGGAGGTGTATTGTGATAATAATCTGGCTTCATTTACAATGGTTGAAAGGGTCATTTTGCATTTTTAAAAATATTTTGTAGAAATTTCAATGAACCATTTTGTTTAAATAGCTAGATGATAACCTAGACCACAGGCCCAACGAGCTTACTTTACCATCAAAGCAATGGCAACTCGAATTCCATTTCCTTGCCTTTTCTTCACATCTTTTCAAAATACTTACTTAGCAAGTATCTCTCTTGAATGCCTCAATCTAACAAACAAACAGTTGCATTTATGTTGTGCCCTTTATGTCGGGAGAACGTCCCAAGGCGCTGAATCTTTGGCTTTCTGTGGCAGTCTATTCTATATTCCTAGGTATTGAAGTAATTCACATTGTACAGTATTATGAATGTGTTTTAGGAAATTAAAATAGCAATGCTTAGTCGTTAGTTGGTTAATAATGGGTACATGTTTTTTGTCTGGTCTCCTGTGTCTCTATAAATGTTTATGCAGACAGAAATAATTTGAATGAAGGTGACATTCTAGTAGACTGCACATGGGCTTTCAGAACCTCAGTTCTCCTTGGTAGTGGATTAATGAAAACTAGACTGGGTATGTGTAAAGTGAATAATAGATAGCTGTGGGTTATTGCAAAGTACAGTGGTAGTCTAATGGAGGTGAATGTTACTGCGCTGATTGAATATGGGATGCAGTTTGTGTTGTATGATGTCAATTGTTATTCCGCTGTGTGATTGGTTCAACTTTATTAAAAATGTTCGATATTTAGCGGATCCCAGCTGGGCACCTGGTGGGCATCTTAGGGAGCAAAACTCAGCCCAGGTTCCCACTCCTCATTGCAATTCAGCAACCACTGCTGGAAATGCGCTTGTATGGTAGTTGGTTGAGTTAGGATTGTTTGCGATGCCCCTGTGGTTAACTGGTCTGGCCTGGCCTGACTTTTCCTGGAGGAATTGTACTTTCAAATACCTTTGGAAGAGGAGGGGAGGAAGTTTGCGATAGGCAGGGTGAGAGCCTCACCATATAGAACCATAGAAATTGATGGCAGAGAAGAAGGCCATTTGTGCTGGATCCCTCAAGGGCAATCCTTTCAGTCCCATTTACCTGCCTACGCCATATAAAAGAGTTGAGCATATTGATAACAGATTCAGTGCTCGGAATGCTTTTGTAAATATCTTTATGCATAGTTGAAAGAGTGTAATTTAGAATGATCACCCAACTTATCCGGCAAGTGTTAAACTCAAGGGTAACCTTCAGCCCAGCACAATTGATGTATTATATTTGTAAGTATTTAAATATCATGTAAACAAACCAGAGAATTTCTCAAAGAAATGTAATACACGTTTGCTGCTTTTAATCGAATATTCAGTATGTTTTTGTTGATATGGAAATGTTTTGATTGTTCAATACACATTTGGTATGCGTCAGAAATGATGAATAATGATGACGTTTTATAATCATGAGGTTGATATCTGCATTTTCTGTTAGTTAATCTGACATTTTGTAATGTTCTGATTCATGCATGATTTTAAATTAGTTGTGAATGGAAATATTTTGCCAATTGTTAACGAAGAGGGAGCAAGGAACAAAGTTGGGAATACATTCATTGTTGTCAGTTTAATATAATTTTCAATTGAAGTACATTTGTAAATGGCCATTTTTGCTATTAACAGGTTTGTTATTCACTGTCAATCAGGATGCATTACAAACATTTTTTATGTGCAAGGGGATTGTAGAAAATAGTAGTATTTTTCTATTCATTTTGCAAGGGGATTGTAGAAAATAGTAGTACTTTTCTATTCATTTTGCTAATAAGTGAGCTCAACTGTACAATTCCCAGTATGGGTGTGTTAGGTGTTGTGAATTATTTGCCTATCAAGAGTAACATGTCAGCCTGGATCAGTTGGTAGCAGGAAATGCTAAAGTACTTTTAAAAATATGTCAAGTTCTTAGGATGAAACGATCAAAATAGTAAAACAATATGTATTTAAACTTTACTCATGCGTATAAAGATTTATGTATAATATGTTTTCTTGAAGGGTAGTTTTAATTGGTTTGCCATAAACATTTCAATTTTTTCTCTTGTCAAATTATACAGCAGTTGTTAATCCATCAGAAATGTATGACATTGATTCTTATTGAAATAAAGACATGAGATTATCAAGATCTTGCTACAGGTTTGTAGCAGCATGCTGAATGCATTTTTTAAAAAATATTTTCATTCAATGTGAAATATTTTGAAAATGAAATACAGTGAGTCATTGGTTTTGGGGTGGTGCAGATTCCGAGGAACAACATGTTTTTATTATTGTTTAATTGCATCATGTTATAAAATCTTATGCATAGGGCAAAGAATTAACATGGGCTCTTAAGATCAGTGATAGTACAATTTAACAGTGGACAAGCTGAGTGTAACATGGTTTGCACCTGCAAGTTAATATATTGTGCTGCTTTGCATTTTATTAGAGGAACTGGCTTCTTCAAGTACTTGCACATAAAAAGCATTTTTTAGGACAGTGCTTTTTGCTGCAGCTCATTGCCTGGCAGTCGAGTGATTCTATGGGCTTCGTTTCAAGCTCTAAATGTGTGACGTTTGGAAAAGGTCATGTTCCCATTACTAATTGCAGTAGCATAGTCCAAATTGTTCCTTCCACGTGCCTTTTCAGAGATGGCATACAATCATAATACTTATGTAGAAAGATAGCAAAATGTGACCTTATCAAACAGTTGACTTGTACATTCAATCGTTAACTGCACTGTAGTGTTTGTAATAAAAATTATCCTATGGAATTTTTAAAAAAGTTTGTTTTTATTTAATACGGTAATAACTAAATCAAGATATCATTTGATAGTTATTTGTCGATGAACAGTACAAATTCAACGACAACAACTTTTATTTTCATAGCGCCCTTTACATAAGTGAATATCCTCTACGTGATGGAATAGAGAAATAAAAGTTTAAAAGTGTTGACCAAAAGCAGAATCAAAGAGATGTTTTAGGAGTTTTCTGAAGATGTTGATAAAGCCAGAAAGGTGTGGTGGGGTGATGGATAGGAGAGGAGACTTAGAGAGAAATGGGTATACAAAATGAGCTGGATTGAGAAAATAAAAAAAACTTCAGAAATCTGAGGGAGAAGACTTGACAAATGAAGGAAAGGTTTTTCCCTCTGCCTTTTCTGAAGGGATCATTTTTTAAAATTTAATTTGTGTTCACCCACAAAAACAGTCGTTCTACTTTATAGTATAGCCTGTGAAAGTGTTTTGGGACAGCCACCTGATGTGAAAATAGCTACAACAAATGTAAGGAGTATTATTATTTAATTTGTGGTCACAATTATGACCAGGTTATTTTTTGAAGCTGATGAAGAGCTTAAAAAAGGGGAATGTGAAAAGGGCGGGCGTTCTGGTGTTTCTCAATTGTC